AAGATACAAGGTGAAATACAATGTTAAAACTAATTGTATTTCTGTTATGGAATTCTCCCTTTAAGAAATACAGGCTTTTATGTCCTTTAAGAGGTCTATGCCTTTGTTCTCAAAGATCATAAGCTTAATGTCCTATACCATGGATGGTCATTTCATTCTCCCATATATCTGTAGTAAAATTATATTAATTATGTATGCATGATTAGGTTTATTTTTATCTAAATTACTATAATGTTTTCCTAGTTGCTAAACAGATCCTGCAATTAGTAACTGAATAGTTAGTTATTTTCAAGGCTTTCTGTTGGGAGTAGATATTACAATTAAATAATTTTAAATCTTATTTATCACATACCAGGCATACTATGTGCAGGAATCTTTACACACATTTCTATGCTCCACAGTCTTGCTATGTTGTACAAGTGAAAACACAGATAAGTTCTTTTCCCCAACTACAGTCATGGCTGTGACATCACAGGGTTCTTGGTGCCAGGTGCCTCTGGAATGCGATCTGCTGAAAGACTCTACCAGTTTTACAAGTTCAGATGATTTTCAATTTTTCACATTTACAAATGATGTCACAATGTTGAAAAAAGTACATTTCATCTGTTTTTCTCTTCTCAGATTTTTGTTTTTGCATGGCCTTACTGGGACAAGACTTTTTTGTTATGCTAATGTATGTCATATATTATGGTATGTATTAACTCTTAACCTTTTACACTCATATTCAAATTTCAATCTGATTTTTTTTCCCTTAATTTTCCCACTGAAGGAGACTTTACTATCAAATCTCCTTAGGATTACCTTCCATTCTGTGTCAAAACAGTCCTAATAGAAACCATGCCGTGGAGGTTTATGGCTTAAGGGGCACAGGCACAGCGACAAAGTAGGGTGCTCCACACGGCAATCGGTGAGTGAGAGGCATCTTCCATGGAAGGTTCTGGGTAGAAACCATGAGAAGGCAGGTTTCTGAACTGATCCCAGAACCATCTCCCTGGATGAACTTTGCAGAGCGGGAGTGGGTCGCTGTGGGCGGCCAAGCTTCCCTGTCCTTGGGATGTTCAAATGACTGACTGATCTTGAGGGAGCTCTTGAGGGAGTCTAGCACACAGCCAGAGCTAAGCCTAAGCTTGAGACCAACTGTTCTTAAGCTCCAACTTGAATCAAAACCACTTAGGATGCTTGAAAAGCATTGACATAGAAGGCCTTCGGAGCCTTGGAGGTGGGGGCTAGAATCAAGAGGAGTCCCTTGGTTCTGGGACTCCTCTGTCTTTTGGATGAGAATCTCAGGTGCTTCTCTTCCTGTTACTTGGGGATTCATCTGAGAAACGTTTTTAGAAATTGCTCCAGAAGATGGGTTATTTTCAAGCTGTAAGTTTTTCTTGATGAGTAAGGACTTGATTGCCTGCTCTTTCATTTCCTCCCTCTCAGGGACTCTTGCTGTTGTAAAAAAAAAATCACCCCTGTAAGGGCAAGGGACATGGGAGCCATGGCTAAGGCAAAGTATAATGATACATTTGTATGAAAACACTATACGCAAACACATTACCTTGTGTATCAAATTAAAATAAACTGCTTCTAATCCCTTCGGATGAAACAGGAGATGGATCGGTCACGTATGACAGGGACCCCAAGGCAGCACTTCAGAGAATGTCTTTGCTGAGGCCAAGAATGTGGAAGGGAGATCTGGCTCCTCTCTCTTTCTTCCTCTCCAAAGTGAGCAAGCCTGCCTAAAGGTGACAGTGACTAGTCCCTGGGGCTGAGAGAAGCACCTGGACACCAGGTTGGGACAACTGAACTGACCAGTTCATCCTCCTCCCGTACCTCAGCCCAGTTCTGCACAAATCCTTTAAGAAGCTGCCACATGGGTAGCTGGGTGGCCCCTGTTTGTGGGAGCTTCATGCTACACAAGAGTTCTGCTCTGTTCCTCTTGAGTTCCCACCTGCAAATCTGTGCATGTCATCCTGTGAATCAGAGACAAGAACCCAAAGGCCGCTGGCTCATTAAAAGTTTGCTGTGGCTGGGAGCTGCTGGTATACAACTTCTGCACCAAAAGAGGCTCTGCCACTCTGGAAAGACATCCCAATATTCCTGTATCACTTTCTTGCGGATGGGTGTGTTCCCTGGTTTCTATTTTGATGTCTTTATTGGACCAAGGACAGAAAATATGTGAAGAGGCTAAGGGATTAGAAGAACGAATACCGAGAGTCACCCAGGATAGCCTGTGCACATGCCCAGCTCTAGCGTCACCACTCTCCGTGTCCGTACCATGACAGAGGACACTGACCACAGCCTTGCTTCCCCAGCTCACCAAGGCTTGTCAGAATCTGTCAGAGCTAGCCCAAGAGACACAATGTACTTGCTAACCAAATTTTAGTGATTACTAGAAAACAGGCAACCCCAAAAAGATCACAGGAAAAGTAAACATTGAAGGGAATGTTTGAAAATATTGAAAAGCCTTTGTCAGAGAAAGTGTTTAGAAAAATAATGACTTCCTAGGTTGCAAAATAAGTTCCCTGCAGTATGTATTTAACTACTTATTTATCTATATGTACTTAGCTCACTTAAATATGTTGCACGTTTTCTTCCTGAAGTATATAAATTTATCAAGAGATCACCAGTAAGTAGGATCCCTAAACTAAAACTGTAACACAGGTTTAATTATTATCTAACTAAACAATTTTACTGATCATTAGCATTTATTAAAAAGCTTATGCTGTGTGAAAACAGAAGTTGCTGGGCCTGCTGGCAGGTGGCTGAGGTAGCAGAGGCAGAGAGGCAGAGGCAGAGGCAGAGGTAGAGGCAGAGGCAGAGGCAGAGAGGCAGAGGAGGCAGAGGAAGCAGAGAGGCAGAGAGGCAGAGGAGGCAGAGGCAGAGGCAAGCAGATCTCTGTGACTTTGAGGCCAGCCTGGTCTACATAGTGAGACCCTGTCTCAATAAGTATAAAACAGAAGAGGAAAGAAACAGAGAAAGAAGGAGAGAAGGAGGAGGAGGGGGAGGAGAAGGAAGAAGAGGAGGAGAAGGAAAAGGAGAAGGAGGAGGAGAAGGAAAAGGAGGAGGAGAAGGAAAAGGAATCGGAGGAGGAAGAGAAGGAGAAAAGAGAAGGAGAAGTAGGAAGAGGAGGAAGAGAAGGAAGGAGAGGAGAAGGAGGAGGAAGAGGACGAGGAGGAGAGGACGAGGAGCCAGCAGTGGTGGAGGCAGGGGCAGTGGCAGCAGCAAACAGGAGAAGACCAGCCAGATTGACAGTAACTCGGGGTTGCTCTTGCCAGTCACCAGTGATTCAGAAGTTCCTGAAGATGCTGGGGAGAAGGATGTTGGCGACTTGGGCTTCTATTATTTAGGCCCTGAATACAACGAGAGTTCGCTGTGCTGAACTGACAAACATCATCTGTATATTTGGATGAATAGCTTGCTCTCATAGGCTTTGGTTATTTTTATCTGTGGATAGAAATGCCTACTCCCCCCACCCCCCGGGACTGCTGAGTGGATTTATTTCTGTACCATGTAATAGCAAGTGTGTGAAGGCAATGAAATGCAAAGCCCATTATTCTTCCCTGGAATTCCCTTTGGTAGCAAAATTGTTTTGTATGGAAATGAGCTTATCAGTTCCGGAGCTGATGATATTTGAGGATACATGAGGGATTTTCTCAGGGTACAGTGCCACAGCCTTGTCCTCATCCGGCCACACACCATCCCTTCCCTACCCTAAGGAGCTGGGTGAACAATTCCACTGTCTATACCTAAAAGGCAAGAGGTCCTCCCCACCCTGCCCTGTTCTTTTTTCTTGGCAGAAATACTTGGAAATTTTAAACAATTTAAAAAACCAGCTGACTTCTGTGCTTCATACCCTTTCACAAAATGTCACGAATTCCTATTTGCAACACTAATGAACAACCACCAATTGTCTTAATTTCATTATTTCCTTCAGCTGAAAGAGTTCACAGAAATAGCTGACTTTCTTTTTATAGTTCTATCTGGAGAGTCTGAACGAGTTTAGACTGAAAGACACACAGAAAAATTTTAAAAAAGCCTGAGTTTTTTCCCCCCTTCTGAATAGAATGCTGCTCATTAAACTATCTTCTTTATCTTCTCAGTTGAAAAATTAAGCTACAAGGAGAGATCTTAAGATCTGGGGTTCTCACGGTTTTTCAGAGGCTGCTCGGGCATTTGTTGTCTCTCCGAGCAGGGCTGAATTGTGTTTTCGCTGTCTGAATTCTACGTACTGTTAAAAATAGCCAAAGCTCTACCACCTTAAATGGTAACGGATTCTAGCAGGGCAGGTTTGGCCTTTCTTTCATAGTACCCAGGCACAGCACATCACAACACAGAGCACACCACACAGCACAACTCAACATTACAGTCACCATGAAGTGAGGAAGGCTGAACTTCCATGGGAACCAGGGAGGTCTGGGGAACAGGTTCACTCTCCTGCCAGCACCTGCTTTGGTTCACTAAGTGACCTCCTCTAGGTCTGAATAAGCGAATGGATCTCCCACGAGGGCGCCACTTTTTCTTTAGTAAGAGGGGACAAAGGGTAAACACAGGGTCCTGTGGCTACTGTGCTGGAGGATAAAGTGAAGAAGATGGGCTGTGGGTGCCCAGGAAATGACATGTTGCAGTCAGGAGCCTCAGGTAGAGAGGAGACAGGGAGGAGATAAAGAGACAAGGGCAAGGGCAGGGGAGGGGAGGAGGCCACCAAGTCCTTGCTCTGTGCAGTGTGTTTCTTGGTAACAGCTTCTAAGCTCTGGAGTTCCTGACACACAGAAAACACTGCAGGGATTTCTGCCACCAGACTTATTTTCCCAGCGCTGGTGTGATCTTTTAGTACAGGGAATCGAGGGGAAAACTAACTTGGCTTGTGGTTACTAGCTCATACTCCTTATACCTAAAAATGCCTTCCCGACTTAACTGGTCAGTTAAAAGAGCCATCTCCAGCAAGCAGGGAACTCACCTGGTCAGCCTGTGCAGACACTGGGACCGTCTCCGGGGCGCCGGGGACTCACCTGTTCAATCTGTACTGAGTGTGGTACTCCCTTTCTTGCGCCGCGTTGTATTCGTTTTGGTACTTGAGCAGTTGCTCCCGCAGCTTAGAGACCTCGGTGGAGACCACGTCGGGGAAGTCGTCAGCTTCCTGCAGGCGAACCAGCTGCTCCTGGATCTGCTCCGTGTAGTGCTTGGCATTCTCCAGCAGCTGCAGCTCGGACTCCTGTGTGCTGGGTTATGGGGAACGACACTGCCTGTGAGAAGGCGCACCCCTCCAGGATGCGCCCCCTTACTCCCGAGAAGACCTGGGAGCCTGACACAGCTCTTCCCATGCCTGGGTACAGTTCACTTCAGTCATGCGTGGGGCTAAGGCTCAGCACAGGCAGAAGCGTGGCTCGGCTACTGAGTCAGCCTCAGTGCCTGGCGGTAAGTTCCTCCAGAGGTCCTGAGATCCAGAGAGTGGGGACAAGGAGGAAGGATGTCATTCTGAAGCAACAGGATATTCCCTCTGAATCTGAAGAAAGACCAGGACCTCCAAGGAAGGGGTAAACAGAGAGAGGAAAGAGAGACACTAAAGTACTCGAGCAACCCATCTTTCTTGGTGCCTTTAACGTCTCCAGACACGACTGCACCCGAATCCTTTCTCCTTACTGAACTATGACATCAAGCACTCTTCTAAGGGCCATCATTGGGAAACTGGCGGAGTTCTATAACATTCTGGACAGTAATTAATCAGCTTTTAATCTTACCCTAGGCCTGGCTAGAACTAGACTTGAACACCACAGAAAAGAGGGTTCCTACAACCCTGGTTGTATCCTATGGCCTTGTCCCTGTTCAGAGAAGTGTCTGCTACAGACAAATTGTCCTTGACCCGTCCCTGAGAATATTCTAGAACTCCTGCATGTGATGAGCTAGTGCTGCTCCAGACTCCTAGTAGACGTGACCTATCTGTGCCAGGCGCCTTGACATCAGTGAGCCCCACTGGGACTCACAGGCAGGCCTTTGTTGTTTCCTGTTTTGAAGCCAGCACTCTCTATGTGTGGAGCCCATTACATTTCCTTACACGAGAAAAACCTCTGGGTTTCAGCTCATTTGCAGAGATGCCCGATATCCTGATCAGGTCTGTCTCAGCTGAGATGGCTGGCTTCCACCATGTCCCCACGCTTTACTGGGTCATGTGGCCAGTGGCATCCAGCCAAACATTTATTGGAACATCATGTGTTCCAGGAACTGTGGTAGGCGCCAGAGAGCAAGCGGAGCCGTGCTGATGAAAACGCCTCCAGTTTACAGGAATGGAAGCGGGGGCTATTCTCTTATGCTTCGGTACTCTTGTACGTGAACACGGTGTTCATCTGGCCTGACCTGGGCTCCTTATGGTGACAGCTCTCCAAGACTGAACTGTCACCGTTGAATCAGGCCATAGTGCTCTTCCCACAGAGAGGAGGGGAGCACGGGGGTGGGCTTCCAGTCAGAACACACATATGCTTGTGACATGCAAGTGTCAGTGGAGGAGAATGTAACTTCTGGTGTAGTCTTGTGGAAATCTCAGTCAGTGTGGGCCCAGTGCTTCCAACCTGTAGGCAGGCCCAAGCAGCAAAAGCATAGCGTTTGCTTCTCCATGCTTTCTTTTCCTACGGGCTTGAGACAGAGTGGTGGGTTTTGTAATGGGCAGAGAAGGAAGTGAGGGGTCAAGAGGAGGCAAAATGTGAGTAGCAGAGGGCAAGGAGCTGTTTCACAGCACAGGCTGGAAACAGAGGATATCACTGCATAGTTCTGTGTCCTGCACTGATAATTCGCCACTGAAGAGAAATAGCTTCAATTCCCAGTGGTAAATAGTAGGCTCTGGGCAAAGCTGCTGACTTACTCCGAGGGCGCCTAGTCTTCTGACCTGCTACCGATGTGGGTGGTGTGGATCTAGCTAAAGAGAGGTAGGAGGAAGTGGTGAGCAGAGGTCCACATAGGTGTGAGTCTGAGCCGTCATAGAATCTGTACCATGAATTAGACACACGCTTATCATCTCAGAGGTCAAGAGCTAATTTCTCTAGGAGCAGCTCTTGATGAGGGATAGAAGCAAGCGAACAAATACCCTGGCTTTCTTGGTGGCAGCGCCGATATGATTCCACACTCTCAAGTCAGGAAGTCCATGAGATTGGGCCTCGGCTGCCCACAGCATGAACCACAGATGGGCCCACCCTACCTAGATTCTCCCTCAGCCTCGCTTCCCCATTCACTCACAATGCCTTCTCCAGTAATTTCTCAAACTGCTTGGGACTCTGATCCTTGCCCCAGACTCCACATTTGGAGGGAACACAAATGAAGACAAGTCTTGTTCAGAAACAGGAAATACAGAGATGATACAAGATGGCTCCTTGTTGGCAAATCGCATACCTCACCACTGTGTCGTGTAGCAAGGTGTACTTGGCTTTCAGCTCTGCCATTCTGGTTCCAGGAAGTTTCCCCAGGGAATACAACTAGCAAAGAGAACAAAAGTTAGCCACTGCTGCCCTCGTGCCTATTGAGATAAAAAGGACTTACATGTGTCTTCTAAAATTGTTCAGCTAAGCCTTAGAGAGGCTACATGTGCAGTAATTATGGCACTTTGAATTCACACAAAGGAGTCCCAGCCCGTCTCTTGTAAGATTCTTATTCTTGAACAAGTCTTTAACCTCCTCAAGGCTATGATTTCTTCACCTAGAAACTCAAAGAATTAAATATTTTCTTGTTCTAAAAACATAGTTCTATGCTAAGCAAACATTTTGAATAGTGGGGACTACGCGGACAGCTGTTTGTACGCTGAGAGGAGGGAATCACTGAGCAAGCACTGTGCATCAGTGACTTTGTTCTCTGAAATGCCCTGGTACCCAGGACTTATTTTTCTCATCTGAAACCAAAACAAAAGGACCTCCCTAAGGTTTTAGTTAAAACCACCAGGACTTAAATTTGAGTAGTCCAGCTTAAAAACATAATCCAAGGCCACGTCCCTTGCCTGATATCTCTGAAGGCAAAGTTTACTGTCTATATATGTATTATTTGTGCCCTTTTTCATTTCTGCTAAAATGTATCTGGTTTAGTCGCTGAGAAGAGGAATATTTAGCTAAGAAATATCAGCCACTACAGTTTCACCCTATTAAAAGTCATAATGCAATGAGAAATGTTGTGGTTGAATTATGGATAATTTGGTCCCATATAATAATTTGGTACCATAAAGTAGAACTTAGAGTCATGTTGTTCAGTCCACCCACTTTCCTTATTCCACTAGGCCCAGTCACACCATCTCTCAGCTAGATGACTGCAAGACCTTTCACCTGCCTCCTCTTCCTCTTGCTCTCCCGCTCTTGGTCCCACTCAAAGATCCTACCTGGTTATCTTTCACAGTGATTCTTTTCAGACGCTAGACAAAGTCCAAGTTATACGAGGTGCTCAAAACCTTCAAATAACATGTCTGAGCTGGTTTTCTATTGCTATGATAAAACACCATGACCAAAGCCCCTTGGGGGAGGGACAGCATATTTGAGCTTACACTTTCATATCACTGTCCATCACTGAGGCAGCTCAGGACAGAACTCAAGCAGGGCAAGAACCTGGCGGCAGAGGCTGATGCAGAAGCCATGGGAGCTTGTTGCTTACTGGCCTGCTTCCTATGGCTTGCTCAGCCTGCTTTTGAATAAAATCCACTACCGCCAGCTTGGGGGTGATAGCGTCCCCCATGGGCTGGACCCTTCCCCATCAATCACTAAGAAAATGGCCTACAGGCTTGCCTGTAGGAAGCATTTTCTTACTTGGACTTTTTAGATACTCTAGTTTGTGTCAAGTTGTCTCAATAGGAATTCTCAGATGACTCTAGTTTGTGCCAAGTTGACAAGAAACTAACCAGCACACAAAATAAAATTGAAGACTCATGGTCCTGCATGACCCTGGCCATCTCTTAGCATCTTTTTGAGCTCCCAGCTTCCTGCCACACTGGCTGCCTTTTGTTACCATAGTCTCTGTCTTAGTGTTCTATTGCTGCACAGACACCATGTCCAAGGCAACTTTTATAAAGGAAAGCATTTGATTGGGGCTTACTGACAGTTTCAGAGGATTAGTCCACTATTACTATCATGGTGGGGAACAGACAGGCGTGGTGCTGTAGCAGTAACTGAGAAGTTTACGTTCTGATCCACAGGCAGAGGAGAAAGAGAAAGAGAGAGAGAGAGATGGAGATAAAGACAGGATGAGACAGACAGAGACAGAGAGATAGAGAGACAGAGACAGACTAGGTCTGGCCTGGGCTTTGGAAACCTCAAAGCCCACTTATAGTGACACACCTTCTCCAACAAAGCCATACCTTCAAATTGTTCATCAACTGGTGACTAATCATGTAAATATATGAGCCTATGGGAGCCATTTTTACTCAAACCACCACTGACTCACAGATCTCTTTCCTTCTCCATGGTCTCTTTTTGGCCATTCTTTACTCCCTTTCTTCACCCCAACCCTTCTTCCCAATCCTCCTGCTTCCAGAACTCAGTCCTTGATAAAAATACAACACATTATGATCTGTTTATGGGACTGATTTTTGTCTTTCCTAACTAGTGTATAAGTCCCACAAGGAAGGGGCCTGGGTTGCCTTGTTCTTCACTGCATTCCTTGCCAAAGATTTCCAGGCATGTCGATGGCATGGAGTAAATGCATATGCTTATCAGCAAGTGAATGGAATCACGGGCAAAACACAAGAGTCTGAGTCCACACAGACAGGCTTCATGGTCTTTCAAATCCAAGTCATGATAGGAAATGTTAAACGCGTCATGAACCAGTTCCTTGTGAAATGGTCAGAGGTCTTTCATAAGCCCACAGCCCTTGTTTTCTGAACCAGTAGGTGAAATGTGGTCAACAGGCTTTTTTTTTTTTTTTTACCTCTTTTTCTCACTACACTAACTACCTTAGAATATATTTAAGTGTCACCTTAAATAGAGTATAGCTTTGATTTTACACAGCCTTTCCCAGAGCAGTGTCAGCAAAGATAGAGACCACAAGAGCTACAGGAGCAGGCTGAGAGCTCTGTGACATCCGTGGAGGCAGACCAGCAAAAGAATAACAGGAACCCCAAGGCAAGAGGGAGGGAAAGGGCCCTGCAAGAGGTGGACACTGATACTCATGTCCAGAGGTATCACGAGTCGAAGATAAAGGGGGACGTCTTGAAAGCAACAAGAAAAGCAACCTAAATTTAAATGTGGCTCATTATTAACAAGGGGATCAGGTTACAAGTGACCTCTCACTAGAGCAATAGAAAGCCAGCCATCAGGAGAGATGACATATCCAGGGTGATTAAACACCAAACCAAACCAAAACCAAAGCTCTCTGTCCAAAAGCAGCTTTCAAAAGTGAAGGGAACACAAAGACATTCCAAGATAAACCAAAACGGAGAGAAGAGAAGAGCTGTGGGCAGATCTGGCTTATATGAAAGTCTAAAGCATGTTCTCCAGGCTGAAAGGACACGCTCTCAGTCAGTAACGCAAATACACACGGAGAGCAGAAGAGGACCCAAGCAAATGGAAAAACAGGCTCATGTAGAAGCCTGAACACAAATGATAACAGCAGCATCCTTTACAGTAGTTTCAGAAGAAACATTTAGGGGCTGGGGAGCTGTCTCAGTGGTTAAGAACATTTGCTTCTCTTGCAAGAAGTTCGGTTCCCAGCACCCACACCACAACACACAGTAACCTGTAACTCCAGTTCCTGGAAACCCGACATCTTTTTCTGGCCTCTGTGGACACTGCAAACACATGGCCCACACAAAATTTTAAAAGATCTTTGAAAAAGGAAACATTTGCTATGCCCATCAATTGATGAATGGAAAAACAAGCAGTGCAGTATTATTCTACAGTTTTAAAGAGTAAAGGAGTCCTGATACTGCAAGGCGGAGCTTGCACTCATTAAGACCATGAGAAGCAGCCCAGACACAAAAGGCCACATTCCACGTTTGTCTTGCACGGGCAAATCTACTCAAACAAAACAGATTTAGTGGTTAGGTTGATATGGCAGCCAAGAGGAGGAGTAGCATGTAAAGAATGAGACATATTTATTTTTGGTATAATAGAAATATTCTAGAATTAGAACATGCTGATAGTACGCTCTGCATACATGCTAAAATTCGCTGGAGTATATTTTAATAAGCTATGTGCAATTCAAGATGCCAATATGAAAAAAAAAAAGATGTGCAACTGGAAAAATCCAAGAAATTAGTACAACTGAATTAAAAAGTCAAGTATATGCCAGGTGATGGCTCCGTGCACGCCAGCACTTGGGAGGTCAAGGTGGATCTCTGTAAATTTGAGGCCAGCCCCTGGTCTACAGAATGAGTTCCAGGAAAGCTAGGGCTACACAGAGAAACCCTGTCTTGAAAAATCAATAATAATAATAATAACAACAATAATAAAATAAGTCATTACTATTATTTTTAAAATCCTACCTTTATACATTAACAAGGTCTAGTAACAATGCCACATTAGCAACAAACACTTCATAACATCCACAGTACATCCACAGCGTACTCTTTATTGTCATTTTTCCACTGAAAGAAGCCAACAAATGTCAAGAAAATGGCTGGTTGCAGATGTGGCGCAGGGGGAGACACAATGTGAAGCTGAGCCGTTGTGAGCCGGAAGGTAAGGTCTTCACGTAGAACAGGCACAACCAGATTTCACCTTTGAGTATGGAAATAGATAGCCAGAAGATCTAACCTGAAACATTCCCCAGGCTCTAACTATGCCCCCAGTTTCCTACCTCTCTCTTTCCGCTCCTCACTCCCTTCCTTCCTTTCTTCCTTTGTCCTTCCTTTCCTGGAATGCACAGGTACTGTTTTTAATAATTAAAGGCTCTTAAAGTACACTAGATGTGATTGCTGTAACAGTGGAGAATCAGAGCAGGGTTTGAAGCTGAAGCCTGGTGGGTCGGATCTGAGAGGCAGACAGCCAGACTGAAGCTCTAACAGAGCTTGTGTGCGTGTCTCCTCTGAATACAGTGCCATCCTTAACAGCAAACTGCTTGAGCTCTAGCAGCAGGTGGGCCGAGGACATGTGTTAGCAGGTTTTATGGCCACAGATAAAGCAGGAAGTCTAGAGAGGTTTGCCTCTTAGCTGTCTTTATCATTCCCCTGGCCCTTGGCACCCTAAAGAACTCATAGAATCTCAGTGGACAAAACACTTCATTTGCCTTTGTAGGTTCTGTATAAATCAAGTCAACTCGCAGATGTTCAGGAAGAAATAACCTTCTTCTTCATCTCTCTTACTGAAAGCAAATCTTTTACGAAGAAAACAATCAAACTATTTAAAATGTATTTGCGTCCCTGAAATTAAAATGTCAGGGCTGAGGAGGTGGCTCCCTCAGTAAAGTATGAAGACGTTTTTTAAGTGTGGATGAGTTTCTGTGTAAAAAGCCAACTGGCAGCACGCACCTGTAATCCCAGCACTTCGGAGGCTGAAATGTGCAG